TTTATGTAGTGCGATTTGCATCTTCTCTAATGTGATAATCTAATGTACTTATATTGTTTTGATTTCTCTCTAATGTTTTTTATCTTTGCTGTGATAGTACATATATATTTACATTTCAATTTGAACATCGAAGAGAAAGAAAGTTCACATATCAACATCTTCGTACATCCACAAAAAAATGCAAACACTGATAATTTTAATTGTTTTTATGCTCCAGTTGATTCAGTATACCTTTTTTTTTGATTCTGACAAACTTTTGACTCAGAGAAAAATTCTTTGACACTTCGAGACTCCATGTAATTTCGTAAGTCTTTTAGGGTGATTGAATCTTCTGGTGTCAAATACCCTCAAGCCTAGTCAATTGGTTCAGTCAAGTTCGAAATTCACTATTTTCTCCTTGGTAAGCTCTTATGCACATTTGCACCCAAACTCTTCAGTAATTATAGTCGTAAAAAAATTTGATTAAGTTCAAACGTAAATTAAGATTTATCAAAAGTTCGTTGTGTTCTATTTAAAAGAAGTGATACACTCACACTCCAAAATTCTCTTGTGTACCAGTATCCTTACTATCGGCTGACATTCATCTGAATGCTCGATGGCAACAGAATATTTTTTTAAATTATGCTGAATTTTATTCGTGACATCCATACATTTTTTTGTGATTTTTGTATAATTTTTTGCGGACGATTACGAACATAGGAGTCAACAGACAAGATTACGATAACAAACAGAGAAAGAATGACAAGGAAGCGAAATCGAACAGAATGAAAATCGAAATCGAGGGAGTGATGTCGAGGTTGGCGTGCATTGCTGTTATTCCTTTTGTTTGTTCTTCCGATACCGTATATCTTGACACCGAAGACACCGTGCCGGGGGAAGGGATCGATCCTTCTGATGTCTGACTAACAATCAGATGCATAGAACCGCTACGCCATCCCCGGCGATGGCAACAGAATGGTATCACTGTAGCTGGAGGAAATCGACAAGGCAATGGAATCAATCAACTCTCAAACCCATGTGGTTTGTATGTTGATAATGATCAAACAATCTATGTTGCTGATCAATCAAATCACCGTATTGTGGAATGGAAACGAGGTGCAACGAGTGGCCAAGTGGTTGCCGGTGGAAATGGAAAAGGAAGTGGAGATCATCAATTGTCTAACCCATATGATGTGATTATCGACAAAGAGAGAGATAGTCTCATCATATGCGATTCTTGGAATGGAAGAGTGGTTCGATGGCCTCGTCGAAATGGGACAAGTGGAGAAACAATCATCTCCAACATCTCTTGTTGGGGTTTGACAATGGACGAGAATGGATCTCTCTATGTCACTGACTTTGGAAAACATGAAGTGAGACGATATCGAAGAGGAGAATCTCAAGGAACAGTGGTTGCAGGTGGCAATGAAAGTGGAAATCGTCTCGATCAACTCTCTTACCCACAATACGTATTCGTCGATCGAGATCATTCAGTGTACGTATCTGATGGGAGAAATCATCGTGTGATGAAATGGATGGAAGGTGCAAAACAAGGCATTGTCGTGGCTGGTGGTCAAGGAGAAGGAAATGATCTTACACAATTGTCATCTCCTCGAGGAGTCGTTGTCGATCAATTGGGCACTGTCTATGTGGCTGATCTAGGGAATAATCGAATCATGCGTTGGCCGAAAGGAGCCACACAAGGAAGTGTCATTGTTGATAGAAACGGTAGTGGAGAACAATCGAACCAACTCAATGTGCCCATTGGTTTGTCATTCGATCGACACGGGAATCTCTATGTCGTCGATCGGGGAAATCATCGAGTACAAAAATTCAATATCTATTCAGATGCATAATAGGTGTTGCAAGTAGATCTAAATGGAACCTAGACATTGTGGCACGGGTGTGATACTTGGCTGGGAGTTAGTATGGAATAGTGTAGAAGTTAAACCTGTGTCGACAACATTGATAATTGAGAAGAATGGAAAAGAATTAAAAATGGCAAGAACTTGGATTATAACTAACTTCCCATCGCATTCGAAGATTCTGGGTCTTCTAATATGTCCGAGCGTAAAAACTCTCTAGGGTGATCTTCTAATGTGACTTTCACGTAAAATTTCCGAAGAAATTATTTTGTATTGCATATTGCTGTTTTCACAAAAATTGCTCTTGTAAATGCCTACTTATGAGATTATATAGTCATAAAAAATGATGTGCTTATGTGCCGTGTCTTGTATGGATGATTTATTTTGTGAAACGTAACCTAAACACGGTGTTGAATTATATAGGAAAAAAAATTGAGCCACATTGTCCCCACTGCCCCCCTAAACCAATGCAGATACTCTGGCACGTCATCACAGACCGTGACAGACCCAATGGCTTTCCTTCTCGTCGCTACAGACTGCGACAGACTATGTTGATACGCGACAAAAGACCGTATAAAACTGCAATCCTATTAGAACATATGAACTACTTCTTTGCCATTGTAGAGAATGAATTAAAGAATGGTGAAGGAATGTGTCTCAAAATAAATCAAATAAAAAGGTTTTCATGTGATTAGCAATAAAACTATGTCACGTTTCACATTTTACTCCTGCAAAGATTGCGCTAGCAGCTTTTTCCAGTGTCATCAAAATACCGCTTGTCCGATTATATTCCTGTGACCGTCTCACGTTTCATCCTTACATAATACGTTAATATCTTCTGAAGCACCAAAAAATCTATCAATGCTTTTGAAAACATAGAGTTATGCACATCCGTACTGAAAACATTACCACGATGTTTTAGATTGAGGAAAATATCGACAGAAATTTGTGTACAAACCAGATTGTTCGAGTGGCATGCGGTATACTTCTCAGAGAATTGAGTTTCTATTCATACTCATCGATATCATTCATAAGAAGATTCTACGTAAAATTAAAGTGATAATTATAAGCAAATACTCCAACTTTCGATTGATTAGTGCAAGACATGATTCTAGAACTAAAACACCTCAAGTATAAAGAAAGAATTGATAAACGGCTCAAAAGATCTCGATGAGTCACTGAAGTTAAGACCATGAACTTATTGTTTTTCGACTCTTTTCTACCACAACTGGTGTAATCTCATTTTCGGATAATAAAAAATATAGAGACATGTACACTGAAAAAGAAATTGGTACGACATCGAACCCAAAAGGGTGTTTTGGACTAAAAAAAGGTTTCGTACATAGAGCGGAATCCAAATGGGATTCGTAGATAGAACTACGAAACACTTGAAAACGTATTCTAAGTCTATGACGATTTTTTTCAGGCACTCGAAGTTTTTACGGAACCTTTTGAGGGTTTCGTATTTATTTAGAAAAGGATTCGGTGCACTAGAAAAAAATTAGTATGATTACCAAACCCATTTTAAAATGAATACGGAACCCTCAAAAGGTTTCGTAAAAACTTCGGTTGCTTGCAAATAATCGTCATAGGCTTAGAATACTTTTTCAAGCGTTTCGTACTTCTATCGACGAAACGTAAAAACGGTTCAGAGAATTGAAACGAAATCGAAACCCTTTTAGGTTCTGTACT